GGTCCAACCGGTTCGACCGGCCGGGTCGGTCCGGGTTTTAAAACACTGCTTAGAACTACGGCAGCATGTTGTCACAAACAATTCTTTTTCTTTTTTTTACTTTCGGAATTATCGGATGTGCACGGACAAGGGCAACCGTTAATTTCGTTACTCCATTTTCTTTTCCTTTCCGAATGTATTGATCATATTTTTTAATTTATAACCCCATATCAATTTTTTATAATAATAATACATTATACATATAATTTAACCAAATGAATTATACACATTGTTTTTCCCATCCTGTTTTCCTGCAACAAGGAACCAAACCACTCTACACTGCCACCTAATATAACGAGACAAAAAAAAGGTGAAATTTAGACCCTAAAATAAAATATAAAGCAAGAAGGGAAAAATCTTTTCACAAAAAGCTAAACAAAGATTAGAGGGCTTGAGAAAGACCCTCTAGCCAATTAAATAAGAAGTTGTGGAATGATTATTCACCACCCCAATATTTTTAAGAGTTCTTTCAAGCCTTGCAACTCATTATTAATTCGTGTATTTTTTTCTTTCCTCGTAATAATAGTTTTTGAGTTTAATGTTCTTACAATGTGATTGTAAAATATTATACCGTCAGTCAATTAAAAAACAAATTAAAGTTTATATAATTTTTAAGATGATTATTATAATAATTGATAAAGTAATCATTCACGATAAGTTATGATTAAATGGTTGTATAAAACAACTTTATACGATAATAATAATAATATAAATACACTTCTTTTAATATCTAAATAAAAAATGACAGTTCAGTCTTTTTTATAAGTATTAATTTAAAGTTTCATTTTATTAATTATTTTTATAATAATTACTCTTATTCGAAGTTATTAATTTAATGAGTTTTACTAACCAGTGTCTTTAATTAATACATAAAAAAATTCAAAATTATAATAAAAAATTACATGAAAAAATGTATAAATACACTTTTCAATATAAAAAATTATATTTTTATTCTTTAATCAGTGTCTTAATTTAATTTTCCTAATTTAATAAGTAGTTGCTAAAACAAAAGTTTCATAATTATAATTAATATATATATATATATATATGAAAACATTAACGATAATGATAATAATAATAATGATTAATGAAAAATATTACGTTTTCTTACTATTTTTTATATAAATTCTTCTATTTTTTAAGAAAAATATATTTAATAAAAAAATATATTTAATGTCTTAAAAACATAAAATACATTCAATATTTACAGTACAAAAGAACTATAAAAATTAATAAAAGAATATTATGAAAAGACATATAATAATTCATGATTAATTAGTGGTGATGAACAGCTATATAAAGTCAACATAGAGAAATGGAGTTGGCTAACTTACACAAATTTTTAAGTTAACGTTGTTGTTGTTACACAAGAAAATAATCATGGTATGATAATATCAGTAATAACAGTGGTAACTGGTAAGAATTAATAGTAGTCACGGTTGTAGTAATTATGATATTGGTGATTGTATTTGATGATGATATAATAGTGCTAGATATTAAATATCTTGTATTTGTTTATTTTTTATATTATTTAAATGAATTATAATAATAATAATAATAATAAGGAATTAATAAAAGAAAACTAATAGATGGTTAGAAACACCAAGAGAGACAAGATATACAGAGGATTAGTAACGTGTTCTTTAAAAATCTCCTTAACACTTTCTCTATCTTGAACTAGAGTGTGTCATTCCTTAAAAAAAAATTCTCTAGTCCAACAAAATAGATAATAATGATAGATACATGCGATAATGACCCTATTATAATTTCTTTCGCTAGCAAACACTCCTTGTATCTAAACAAATATAGCATTGGAGAAAGGGGTTGTACAAATAAGTCTTATTTACTGATTATCTCCTATTATCTTATTAAAAAAATTTATGAATGATATGATTGCCTTGAAATCATGTGGTCATGGGTGTGATTTCTCAAATGATATCAATAATCAGCTTGATAAGACTAACTAATCACTTTTACCAAACTTATTGAATATCCAGACGATCAGCTACATGGACCAAAGTTCAACCATGGAAAAATAAATAAATAAACTTTAGCAAGGGCGGGTATATGCAAAAAAAAAATTAAAAATTAAAAAAATAAAAAAATCCGTAATGATCAAGTCAGTAACAATTTTACTAGATTAACAGTATCTAATAAATGGTTATTACTACGATAACATTGTTTATTATTATAGGAGTTTAAGATGAGTTGGACTTCCTGCCATGTGCTCAAAGGCCTCTCAAGGACAATATTACTTTTTTTATTGATATAGTCATATAGAGCTATGTAACTTCACTTCAAGTTGAAGTATGGGTTGAGATGACACCTTGGATTAAGATAGCCCGTTATTCAAATTGGGCCTCTAGTCCAATCCAAAATAAAAGTAGAAATATCTTTTTTATGATTATTAAAAATATCATGTTATTTAATTTATGTAACAAACATCCCCGATGAAAAAATGAATTAGTTATTTTTGTTATTACGATGCATGAATTCACGATTGCATTTAAAACATTTTTTTTTTTTTACATTTTCTGTTTAGCACGAATTTATTACTTAGCTTAGGAGCATCATATATTTATAGTCTCCCATCAATCTACACATATAATTGATTTTCAACTAACAATAAAATTTGATTACGTGTTACATAAATATTGGTCAACATCGTAATATTTCTTGACCAAGTAATAATTTCTCTAACTAGACTCCTTTTATAGTTTTCTTCATCTGCTGTGATGGTGACAATTTCATCTTGTACCACCCTTCCTCCTTTTGAATCAATTTCCGACCAATATCACCATCCAAACGTGATCTCAAGATGCAAATTAAAAGGGATGAACATGAAAGTGTCGATTTGAGGTAATTTCGAGTCTCTGAAAATTCATGTCGTTATTGACAAACCCCCTGAATGACGCCACCTGAACCGTAACATAGCAAAATATTGCAACCTTCTTCCATTTGCCACTCGCCACTATCAGTCAACTGAGAAGGGAACTCTAAATCCCCAATCCTAACATGAAGCAATGGTGGGGATTTGCGTGTTGGTTCTTCTCTTCTTCAAATTCCAATTCAAGTTTTTGATATTATTCAACAAGGGTTTTGTTTTCATGCGATTCAAAATTCTAGTTGTTGTGAATGTGAATGATTTCACCAAATTAGACAACGGAAGCTTGAAGAAAGGTAGCTGCCACTAGAAAGGGTAGAATTACTACAAAAACATAACTACTAAAATAAAAAATATATATAAAGAAACGAAACATCTGATGTTTCCATTTCTTTTTTCCCAGAAGCAATTAATCACTTCCATATAAGCCAAGATCATCAGCAAGCAACCAAAACAACTTTTGGAATAAATTCCGTCCTAATAAAAGTAGCCTAAAACTGACAGGTGGACTCATGGCACTCTGCATAGTTTAATAATGAATCGTGTGTCTTCTGGCTACAAAAAGTTATTGGCAATTTAATTTTTCTGATAGCTAGGCATGTGGCCTTTCTGGATAACTTTTGGTGTTGCTCTTCAAAACTCATGACACAGCCTTTCGAACGTCTACGTATTTTAGTGTAGAGAAAATTATACAGATGCAAGGCTGTGAACTAAACAAAATTCATGACTCAGTAAAAGCAAATGTACCAAGCATCGCCAAAAAAAAACCCTCATGATTGTGTAGTAGACGTAATATATTAATTGCTATAGAAACTGTCATACTTTACTGGTAAGAACTAGACACAATAGATAAGAGTTCCTCTTGCTGCCGCACTTGTTCATGCCAAGAGAATCATTGCAAGGTTCAAATATAATCATATACATCCTTTTCCTTATCGTATATACAGATATAGATAATAGTCGTTGCTAATTCATCTAAGTTAAAACTAATTTGTAAATTCAATTTATATTCCACCAACCTGCAAGCCTTTCGCAACCGCATTGATGCATTGAGGTTATTTGAATTGTTATGCTGAGCCTTCTCAACAACCTTTCAGAAACAACATATAAATCCTTATTATGAACTTGATAGCATCAAATATAAACTATTACAATTAATTCAATTGTATCATCACTTAGCTTAATGGCACTCAAAAGTATTCTACAATAAACGCGGCATAAACTAATAAAACGCGATTAACAGAAAAGAAACGAACGCAATGAAGCTACACAGTGATAACAGAAAATGCTGAAAACGTAACTGCTTTTCTCGCTTTGGAAATTCAAGCAATAAAGTGAAATAACAGAATGAATAAATGAATGCAGAGATCGATTTTCACGGAAAGGCCAAACGCGACTTCCTTCAACAGCAAGAAGAAGATCCAATCATTTCAGAGCTAGAGAAACAGGAAGCCTAATCAAGCCCTAGGAAAATATACAACAAAAAAAAAAAAAAAAAAAAAAACAAAAAAAAAAAAACGGGGGTTTTGAAAAAAAAAAAAAAAAAAAAAGCGTAAATTAAATAGCGCAGGTTTTGGAAAACCGAATTTCGCGATCCAGATGAGAAACCGAGTAGTGAGATCTGTGATGAGAAGTGGAATATAATCAGACGCCGGCGGCGGATCGGTAGCGGTAGAGTTTGCCGAAGACGTGGAGAGCGGTGACGAAGCCGATGAAGCAGAGGCTCATGACGAGGACGACGGTGGGAGAGATCTTGAGGCCGGGGGCGTCGTCGGTGTAGAACCTAAGCATGTTGCTTCCGGCGCCGGAGCCGCTTCCGACGGAGGCGGCGGCGTTACCGGGGG